CTGCACTGAGCCGCTTGGCACTCCGACCTGAACCACCCATCTTGAGACGTAGCACCTCTCTCCGCCGCCTTGGGGGCTTTCCTGGGCCCCCTACCTTGCTCAGCATACGGACGGAGCCCCCTGCTTCCCATGGCTCCTTCCATGTGATATCTGGCCGGCCCTCTGAGCCTTTCTACTTCGATGACAAGATGGTGAGGACTTGCCAGCACACGTGGCCTTCCACGCCCGTGTTCCTCCATGCCTCCAGTTTTCTTGCCATTGTATGGCTTTCCTTTCCCCCTTTTCTCCAAGTTTCTTTTTCAACCCCTTATTACAGCAGCCTGGACTCTCCTCTTCCTTGCTTAAGTACCCTTGAGCCTCACAGACCCTGTTTGGAGTTGTCTGTGACTTCCCAGCATGGTGTACCATTTCGGTCCCCAGGGAATTAACCTAGCCATTTGGAATTCTTCTTTGGGTCTCCAGGCCCTTACTTTCCCTTGCTGTACCTTCTCTCCTAGGACGCTGCCTAGGCCTAATTAATCTCTGGAGCAGAAGAGGGGCGGGCTCAGAACATCTGAGCTAGTGTGGTTGCCCATTTCCCGAGCTAAGTGAGCTAGGCTGGTTGCAGTTGGAGCCATCAGGAAAGAGTGCAGGAAGAGGCCACGGGGGCAGGAGGGGGTCTTGGGGGCAGCAAGGTGGGGGTGGGGAGCAGCTGGGCAACCATGCCAGTGCTTGGGGAGTTGCCCCAGGAGCTGCAACGCCGGCTAACCGGGCAGAGGAGTAAGTGGGGGACAGGTGGGAGAGCCATGGCTGAGTCCGTGGTACACTCAGCTGTGATGGGCTTACTGCTCATGGCCAGTGAGGTAGGGAGACCCCAATACCCAGTGAGGGGAAGAGGGTGGAGTTTGGGGTGAAGTAGGTGGGGGAGGCAGTGGGCAGCATGCTGTTGCAAGGTTAAAGTGCTAGGTGGGATATATGGGAACCTGCTGACTGTACTCCGACCTTCCAGGCTCACCACACACTGCTCCTGGGCTCTGGTCATGTTGGCCTCCGAAATCTGGGAAACACGGTGAGAACCACTCCCTTGTCCTTCCTCTCTAACAGGAATGTAAAATAGTGCTGGGGGCAGGGGGAACCTGCCGACTTGGGGAAGGTGTGGGAAAGAAGAGCACTGAAGCTCTCCTAAGGCTTCCTGGGCACTGGTCTGGAGAGATAATGGCAGTGTCTCTCCTGCTCCCCAGTGCTTCCTGAATGCTGTGCTGCAGTGTTTGAGCAGCACTCGGCCTCTTCGGGACTTCTGTCTGCGAAGGGACTTCCGGCAAGAGGTGCCTGGAGGGGGCCGAGCCCAAGAGCTCACTGAAGGTGGGGCGACAACTCCTACTCCCCCCTTTCAAGTCCGCTTTTCCCCAACCCCTTGCAGGTCCATCTGCCAGTGTTAGTGGCCCCAACCCTTAAGTCTGGCAGTTGTATCTGTTTTTCCCAGTACCTGCTTTCCTAGAGGTTGTTGTCCACCCTCTGAGCCTCCTCTTGCTTGCCTCTTCCAGTCATTAACCTTTGTTTCCCTTCTCCACTCCCACTCCAATAGCCTTTGCAGATGTGATTGGTGCCCTGTGGCACCCTGACTCCTGCGAAGCTGTGAATCCTACTCGATTCCGCGCTGTCTTCCAGAAATATGTTCCCTCCTTCTCTGGATACAGGTGAGAGAGCTGAAGTGTACAGGATTTCTCTCTGGCCATTGTGTGGGGGTAGAGCCAAGCAGGGGCCCTGGCAACATTGTTCTGAGCCTCGAGATGTTCTTCATCCAGGAAGTGCGGGCTGACGTCTAGGTAGGGGATAGTGTCTGTGGACTAGGCAGGGGCCAGTTGCCCATACTCTTTGTCTGGCTGTAGCCAGCAGGATGCCCAAGAGTTCCTGAAGCTCCTCATGGAGCGGCTGCACCTTGAAATCAACCGACGAGGCCGCCGGGCTCCACCAATCTTGGCCAACAGTCCAGCTCCCTCTCCACCCCGCCGCGGAGGGGCTCTGCTAGAAGAACCTGAGTTAAGGTGAGGTCACTCTTCCTCCCGCTTCTCCCAAGTAGTTTATCAGCAGCATTCATCCTTCACAGAACTGAGCTAGTCAAGATTGAGGAGGTAGGGTCTAGGGAAGTGCTTAGCCTAGAAAATGGTCTGAGAAACAGTGCATAACTAGGAGGAAGTCAGGAGGAAGGAGGCTAAAGGGTCAGAGGGAGGCAGGGGATAGTGCTAGGGTGTCACCATTTTGAGGGAGGGGAGGATAATTAATTTACAATCAGGTACATAAGGGTTTGAGGCCAGGCGTCTGCATGCCGTCTTCCTTTTCCTCTCACCTTGGATTCGCCCAGAAAGTCCTCTGAAGCATTGCTCCTTTGACTCTTCCTTGAAATTTAGAGAAGGAGCTGGGGTGTGGATGGGGTACAGAGGTCTGTGGATCAGTTCAGTGGTGTTGGGGGGCCCAGTGTTCCTGCTGTCTCATGGGTGCTCCCCACTTCCCTTGATCTGTGGTAGTGATGATGACCGAGCCAACCTAATGTGGAAGCGTTACCTGGAGCGAGAGGACAGCAAGATTGTGGGTATGGAATGGGGCAAAACAGTGGGGGAAAATTAGTGTGTGGGGTTGCACCCTTGGGAGAAAAAATTGCTGCTGTCAAGGGGTGTGAGAACAAGACTAGATGATGAAAATGTGGAAAAGGTGTGAGGGATTTGTTAGGCGTGTTGGTGGTGGGAAAGGAAGGGTCAGGCAGAGGGGTGGGAAGAGGTGGGAATCCAAGGAAGCATCTCAGGCATCCCACAGTAACTGTTTCTCCTGCCCCTTTGCTTCTATCTAGACCTGTTTGTGGGCCAGTTGAAAAGTTGTCTCAAGTGCCAGGCCTGTGGGTATCGCTCCACGACCTTCGAGGTTTTTTGTGACCTGTCCCTGCCCATCCCCAAGGTGGGATTCCAGAGGATTCCAGGGGTGGATGGGATATGGGTTCTGCGACCCAATCCTACCCACCCCCAGAGTGTGGGAGGGAACCCTGTGGGTCTCTGGAGCAGAATTGAATCCTGGGTTGATTGAGAAGAATTGGAAAAACAAATTCAGAACATGCTGACCCTTCATTCCTCTTTCCCCCCCAGAAAGGATTTGCTGGGGGCAAGGTGTCTCTGCGGGATTGTTTCAGCCTTTTCACCAAGGAAGAAGAGCTAGAATCGGAGAATGCCCCAGTATGTGGGGGTTCACAAGGGATATAGTAAGGGTGGGAGACATGGGAGGGGAGCTCCATATAGGTAAAAGGGGTTGCATGATGCCTTAGTATGGGGAAGAATAGTTATATATCTGGGTTTGTGTTGGAGTCTGACATATCCTGGTACTCCTAGGGCAAAGAGGGAGTGGTCCAGAGGATACAGAAGTATTGGGGAGAATAGTAAGTTGTTGTGTGAGTCAGGGTGTTGGAAAACCAATTGAGGTGAGGAGCACCTTAACCAAACATTATTTGACATTTTTTCAGGTGTGTGACCGATGTCGGCAGAAAACACGAAGTACTAAAAAGTTGACAGTACAAAGATTCCCCCGAATCCTTGTGCTCCGTATCCTAATCTTCAAATTCTTATTTCTCCCATCCATTCTTTTTTCTTTCTTAATTTTTATTTTTTATTGCAGTAACATTGGATTATAACATTATTTAGCCCTCAGATATACATCGCAAAATACCTCGAACTCTGTGCAGATCACATGTTCACCACCCAAAAACTAATTATAATCCATCACCACACATGCGTGCCCAATCCCCCCTTGTGCCCTTCCCCGACCCCTCCCATCCATTCTTTTTCCTCATTCTCCATGTTTGCAGAGGCTGGACATTTGGGAATTGAATTTTCCGTAGGAAAAGCCTGCTACTCCACCTTTCCCTACCATGCTCCCAGTGTGTCTTCCGGGAGAAAAGTGGGCAGCATTCAAGACCCCGGTCCCCCTCAGAGGCCCTCTGCCTCCCTGATGCTCCTTAACCAGGGCTTAGATCTTAATCGATTTTCCGCCTCCCGAGGCTCCATCAAGAAAAGTTCAATAGGTGTAGACTTCCCACTGCAGCGACTGAGCCTAGGGGACTTCGCCAGTGACAAAGCTGGTGAGTCTGGTAGGGAAGGTCCTAAGGAGCCCCACCAGGGGGAGGGAGAGAGTGGGAGCTGGGCACAGCTCTGTAGAATTTAATCATCTCTAACCCTGCAGGAAGCCCCATCTATCAGCTGTATGCCCTTTGCAACCACTCGGGCAGCGTCCACTATGGCCACTACACAGCCCTGTGCCGGTGCCAGACTGGTTGGCATGTCTACAATGACTCTCGGTGAGAAGAGCCTCCTATTCAACTCCTGCCCCATTCCCACCGCAGCCCCTCACCCCTCTCCCTAATACAAAGCCCCAGGAGAATCCAGTGCCTGGTGAAAGGAGAGGTGGGGTCTCTCCTGATCTCTTCCTGTTTACAGTGAGGTTGATCTTGTGGGGAGAAGGGAATCTACAGGAATGATCACAACCCTTTCCCCATCTGCCTTCTTCCTAGTGTCTCCCCTGTCAGTGAAAACCAGGTGGCATCCAGTGAAGGCTACGTGCTGTTCTACCAACTGATGCAGGAGCCACCCCGGTGCCTGTGACACCCCCTTTGAGCCTTGGCACCTGTGAAACCCTTTCAACACCCTTAAGCCCCAGGCTCCCCATTTACCTCAGAGACGTCTATTTTTGTGTCTTTTTAATCAGGGAGGGGGGAGGGGGTGGTTGTAGCTCCCATTATTTTTTTTATTAAAAAGTACCCTTCCACTTGGAGGCTCCCTTGTCTCCCGGCCCCATGTACAGAGCTCCCCAAGCCCCTGCCCGTGTACAGCCCCCAGACCCTCTACAATCTCACTTTTTGTGAATAAATTTATTAAGAAAAAGTGATGTCATTTGTGTTAGTGCTCAGGGTGCGGAGATACAGAACTCGGCCGAATAGGAGTTTTCCTGGGACCCAGTTCCCTCTCTGAACAGATGGGGGTGCTCTCGGAGCCGGGTTGGGGTGGGGATGGCAGTGCCGGACAGGCTCATGTCAACGTTTGCCCAAAGCAGTGAAGGTTTCCGTTGGGAGGAAAAAAGGGAATGCAAACTTGAGACTTGTGAAGCTGCGGGGAAGCCTGGAACTAGAGTGCAGGCACCGGGGCGACGGGTCCTGCAGGCAAAGGGGCTGCCCCTCGAGGGCAAGGCACCCAAGGACCCCTGTTGACAAACACTGGGTACGTTGCTGGGCGGCCCTGGCTCCCGTAGGCCCAGGCTGTTGCTAACATCAAGGAGCTGTTTATGGAGCCGCCTCCCCACGGACCAGCTTCCAGTGTCCCTATCTACTCTCGCTACAACCAAAGCTCATGGGGCCTTCGCTCCAGGGTCCTCACCCTACCTAGGCCTGGGAAGCTTGAGCTGGGGAATGCTAAGCAGGATTCAGCTCTCACCGCCCCGGCCCGGCGGGGAGGGCAGCGCCAAATACCGCAGCTCACCCTAACCTGGCACGGAACGTGTTAACCTCCGGCTCTACGGAGCGGCCCCTGAAACCCGCGGTCCCTCCGCCTATGCTGGGGAGCCATGGCCAGCTCAGTGTTTTCATTGGTGAATGTGATCCGGGGCCTTCCAAGACCCACCAATCCAGAAGCAGGAAAGATAGGCTCGGGAGCGTGCCGCGAGAATAGAGTGGATGGAGCCTCGGAGAGGCCGAAAGGGTTGGGAGCGGAGGTGGCGACTCGGAGTCCTAGGCCTAGTGAGGCGTGGGAGGCAGAGCGCCCCAGAACTCAGGCGGCCAGTCGGCGCCCGGAACCCGGCGCCGGCAGATAGGGTGGGTGTGGCCCTTATCTGCCTCCCCGCGGAGCGCTGGGTGGACGAAGTCTTGAGACCTCTTTTTCTTTCTCCCTCATTTTCTCTCGTCCCTCTCGTGGTGAGTCCTGGGCCCTGGGCGGGCACCTCACCGTCCCACCGCCCCATTCTCTGGCTCTGCCTTTGTTTCCCCTAAAGCAGTGAGTGGCCGGGGCTGGAGCGTGGTACCGGCGGAGCTTCTGGAGAGCAGGGTGTCCCCCGCTCAGCCTGTCCCGATCGCTCCATCTCCCTCAGGCTTCCCAATGGGTCGGACCGTGGTCGTCCTGGGCGGAGGCATCAGCGGCTTGGCCGCGAGTTACCACCTGTGCCGGGCCCCTTGTCCACCCAAGGTGAGTGCCCCACTGTGCCCGAGGGAGCCTCCTTTAATACCCTTGTCCCGATTCTGGCAAAAGGTGGATCCTGGCCCGCGGGATCGCCGCTCCCTCCACACCCTTTACCCCTCCGCTGTAGGCGGTGCTGCAGTGGCCCCCTTGTTTCCCCACAAGGTGGTCCTGGTGGAGGGCAGCGAGCGTCTGGGAGGCTGGATCCGCTCAGTCCGAGGTCCAGATGGTGCTATCTTTGAACTTGGACCTCGAGGAATTCGGCCAGCGGGAGCTCTGGGAGCCCGGACCTTGCTCATGGTGAGAGGCTTGTGGAATGCCAGGAGAGGCTGCCAGGGGCCTTCACTAGAGGATAGACTTGAGGGGCGGGAGTATATTTGGTGATCAGTCCGTTCCTTAGTTTCTCCTCTTCCTGAGGATGTGTGGAGTAGGTTTCTGAGCTTGGCTTGGACTCAGAAGTGTTACCTGTCCGGGGAGACCATCCAGCTGCCCAGAACAGGTTCCTGTATGTAGGCGGTGCTCTGCACGCCCTGCCCTCTGGCCTCAGGTAATACTATCACCTGTTTACTGCACATTCTTCTACTGGGTCCCCAGCCTCACATTCCTTTCATTTTTCTCATCTCCCAGTTTGTCAGCCCTCCCCGCAAAAGGGGCCAAATGAATGGAAATGACCCGCTGGAGCTGGGGAGGTAAATCAGAGCTCCCTCCTCATGCTTTCTTCCATGCAGGGGGCTACTCCGCGCTTCACCTCCCTTCTCCAAACCGCTGCTCTGGGCGGGGCTGAGGGAGTTGATCACGCCCCCAGGCAAAGACCCTGATGAGACTGTGCACAGTTTTACCCAGCGCCGCCTTGGACCTGAGGTGACACTGCCCAGAGGCCCCAAATCCCTCCCCTCCTAAGCCAGCTGCAGAGCCCCCTGCTCAAACCTACTACCTAGGGGCTCTTCTGTATCATTTAGGAATGCCCTTTTCTTTTTATACCCAGTAGTCCCTAAAAGTCAGTGTTGGGGGTGATGTTATAATGGGACTGCTCCCCAACCCAAACCCTACCCCACCCCCATTCCCTACCAAGTAGGGGCAGTGGAAACCAGTCAGTGTAGCTTATTCCTTGGCCTCTCAGTCCCAGTCTCACCCTTAAGGTGGCGTCTCTAGCCATGGACAGTCTCTGCCGTGGAGTGTTTGCAGGCAACAGCCGTGAGCTCAGCATCAGGTCCTGCTTTCCCAGTCTCTTCCAAGCTGAGCAAACACATCGTTCCGTATTACTGGGGCTGCTGCTGGGGGCAGGTGAGGGGGGGATTGGTTCAAGGGGTGAAGATATTAAGGACTGCCAGAGTGAGGGACTAGAGGCAAGGGATGCTCTTTTATTGATTCTTCTCTGTTTCCTCCTCTGCAGGGCAGAGACCGCAGCCAGACTCAGCACTCATTCGCCAGGCCCGAGCCGAGCGCTGGAGCCAGTGGTCACTCCGTGGAGGACTGGAGAGGTTGCCCCAGGCCCTTAATACCCACCTGACTAGTAGGGGGGTCAGTGTTCTCAGAGGCCAGCCAGTGTGTGGGCTTAGCCTCCAGGCAGAAGGGCGCTGGAAGGTAAGAGAGCCCCCTGGAGTGTAATGAACCTGTGTGTTAGTTTTCGTCTTTGCCTAAATGTTTTAATCAGGCCAGGGCTGGCAGGACTGCAGTACCTCATTGTTTTCCTGTCCTAGAAGCAATTTAAATATGGGCTACCCCAGGTTCTTAGGCCTTAATCGTGGACCTTCCTCCAAGACCCTTAGGATCCAGGTCTGTAGATAGAGGTAGTGCTTATAAGTGGCTCAGAGATAGGGAAAGGAACAATCCAGCTCCACTGAACATTTCAGAGTGGCCACACTGGCCTCAGTCTGGCCCACTTCCTGAAGTAATGGGGGGTGATTTTTGTGCTGACTGCACACTTAATCTCTTCATCCTGGGTCAGCACCCAGTCTCTCCTGCCACTTGGGTGCCTTGGAAACTGAGGCAAAATTTCCACTATCTCTGTCTCTCACAAATGTTTTCATCCTCTCAGGTGTCTCTAGGGGACAGCAGCCTGGAGGCTGACCACATCATTAGTACTGTTCCAGCTTCAGGTAATGGGGTGGCGGCCTTCCCCTTCCCCAACCAGGGTGAGGCAAGCTGTAGCTTTCTGGGCCAGAAGGACCATACCATGCCCCTGAATTGGTCATCCCTATGGGAGGCTAATTCCAAGGAGAGTTGATTCAACTGTAGTGTGAATGCCTCCTAAAGTAGGCCTCTGCCTGCCCCCCTCCAGTGCTGAGCAAGCTACTCCCTGCTGAGGCTGCACCTCTGGCTCATGCCCTGAGTACCATCACTGCAGTATCTGTGGCGGTGGTGAATCTGCAGTACCGAGGAGCTCGTCTACCTGTCCAGGTGTGACACAGAGGAAGGGGAGACATGGGCTCAACAGGGACTCTTCCCACCTGACTGTTTCTTCCGTTTCTCCAGGGATTTGGACATTTGGTGCCATCCTCAGAAGACCCAGGCATCCTGGGAATTGTGTACGACTCAGTTGCTTTCCCTGAGCAGGATGGGAGCCCCCCTGGCCTCAGAGTGACTGTGAGAGGAAGCAGCTTTGTTCAGTAGGGGTTTCCCAAGGATCCCCCTGTGCCCCGGTATAGGTAAGGTCAGGCTTGTCAGTGCTATATTCCCTCCCTAGGTGATGCTGGGAGGTTCCTGGTTACAGACACTGGAAGCCAGGGGCTCTGTCTTATCTCGGGAGCTATTCCAACAGCAAGCACAGGAAGCAGCTGCCACACAATTAGGACTGAAGGAGCCACCAAGTCACTGCTTGGTCCATCTACACAAGGTGAGTTGGGATAAAGTCAGCCCACCCCCCCACCCCCACCCCCGCTGAAGGCCTTGAAGGCAGGGACTGGTATATTTGTCATTGTCCACCAAGACCCAGGATATCAATAATAAACTTTTCCCTGTATCTCCTCTTCCTTCCCCAGAACTGCATCCCCCAGTATACACTAGGCCACTGGCAAAAACTGGGTAAGTTGGGAAAGCAGCTGGGCTGAGGGAGGCCAATGAAATCAGACCCCCAACTGTAACTTTCCTTTTATCCTTTCTTTCCAGAGTCAGCTACCCAATTCCTGGCTGCTCAAAGGCTGCCCCTCACTCTGGCCGGAGCCTCCTATGAGGGGGTTGCTGTCAATGACTGTATAGAGAGTGGGCGCCAGGCAGCAGTCCGGGTCCTGGGCACAGAACCTAATAGCTAATAACCTAATAGCTAATAGCTCTCACTTCTTCCTGCCCCTGCTGGCAGGGATTCTCTCACTCATGAAAATAAAAGTCGCTGGAGCTTGGCTTGGTCTGGCTGTTCTGTCACCTTCGGGCTTGTGGGGTAGGGGACAAAGACAGGCAAAGGGTGCCTGGGATGCAGAAAGCAGGGGCAGAGGCAAGACAAAGTCCTTTATTAGAAAATATATCAAAATCCCAGCCCCCTGAGCCAGGTCCAGAAGAGGGAGCTACTCCAGCACTGGCAGAAAGTACCCAGGGAGGGGCTTCCTTCAACAAACACACTTCCTGGGAACCATAAATAGAATAAATATTCACAGAGGTCCCTGGAGAAGCCAGATCACTCTTCTCTCCATTGAAGAGGAAGGGACTTGGGGTCCAGCCCTGCTCCTGCCCCAGCGGCAAGGGACTCCCAGGAGTCGTCACATAAAATCATGACATCAAGATTCACAGTCATAAGCCCTGGCAGGTGACCCTAGAAAGAGGGACCCCCAGGCCTAGAGGAGCCCAGCTCCAGTCCAGCAGTGAGGAGAAGCCCCTGCCCCCAGCACAGCACTAGAGTTCAATTTCCCCACATCCCTCTGAGAGCAGTGAGGAGCTGAGGGTGGGGAGAATACAACCCCTCTGATTCAGTTGCATGATTAAGGATGGCAGGAAGGAGGAGTCAGTGTGAACCATGGGGGTCTGTGTGGTTGGCAGTAGGCAGAGGACCAGGCCTGGCTGGGGGCCGACGCTGCAGCATCTCTTGACGGAAGGCCTGGGAGGAACCAGGTGGGTAACGGGGACCAGAGAGAGTCCGGGGACCCCGAGGGTCAGTACCAATGTCTGCCGTGATGTTGGTATAGAGAGGGCCCAGCTCTCGAGCCAGCAATCGGTAGGTCAGTGAGTTCATCCCATCTTGCGTCCAGGAATTCTGGGTACGGACCAGGAGGTCAAATCTGAGGGTTAGAGGTTGGAGACTAAGACCCAGAAAGGAACAGGAATCTAAGGACCTTTAGGAGCTTCCTAGCTAGGATGCAGAACCCCAAGGATCCAGTAACAATTCCCAGGCAGTCCTCCCTTCCTACCTGTGGGGATTTTCCTCGTTGCCCTTATCTCCTCGGTGCTTCACCATCTTATAGTGTCCCACAGATGCAGGGGGGCGAGAGATCTTCATCCCAGCGAGGCGTACCCTATGGGAAAAGTGAGGGCACCTTGGACGATCCAGAGTGGAGCAAAGCTGCTGACAGGTGAGCAAGAAGAACTAAGGCCAGCAAGGAAGGCATTGCATGTTTCTGTACACAAAGAGCAACTATTACTAGTTAGGCAAAAATGTGCCACGTACTGGAAGGGGCGAGAAAGTCAAACAGAAGGAAATGGCTGAAGAGAATGTGAAAGCTGGATGTATCCAAATCCTCAGGGCCTGGTGCCAGGCACCCTGGGGCCTTTAAACAATTGCAGAGGTAGGTCTGCACCTCCCACCTTCATTTCCTAACCGGCTCCCAGAGCTGCCCTTGCAGTCTTGGAAGGACAGGGAGAGAAGCCATTTTGTCAAAAGGATAGGACAAGCCTGGGAGTTGCAGACCCAAGCTCAGCAATTATTTAGAATAGTGGCTGAGCTGCCTCAACCCCACTGCTTGGCAGCCTCCCCACCCCCACCTCCACCCCCAGTGTTAAGAAAAGGGTGGGACCAGGTGATCAGGGCCTGGAAAGAAACAAATCCCAACTCTGACTCAGAAGCAAGAAGTGAAGCTGGCCTGGGAAGCTATTGAAAGAGTACATACATTTAGAAATTGCTGGGCATTTTATACACATACAGAGGACCAGAATCCACAGAGAAGTCATCCCAAAGGACACAGGGAGAGAGGAGACAATGGATCCAGCATATCAAGCCCAAATATTCACACCACACCACAGATATGAAATTGGGTCAGCTGAGGCTGAAGGTCAAAATGTTTCTCATGCTAAAAATGAGTTGGCATCATGACAATGGCACAGGGTTTTAAAAAAAGTGATTCTGGGCTATTTGGAGCAGAGCCCCTCCTCCCCCAGCCCCACAGGAAGTGGTCTGGATGCAATCCTAGCAGAAGGCAGGACTAAACTATCTCTCAGCTCTGGAATCCCATGACATTATAGCCTATTGATCTTATCCTCTCTCCCAGGAACATAATTTACCAGATGTGGGAGACTGGAGGATGATAGAATGGGGGGCAGCATGCAAAGCCTGACCTGGGTAGACTGAAAAGACTAAGGGAGAGGAATGGGCACAGTGCAGGACCAGGGAACTAAAGGTTAGTGTTAAAAGGCTATGGCCAGGGGTGGTCTCAGAGGACAGGAGTTTAGGCTGGGGTGAAGGAGGGAGGTGGTGACAGGAAGTCTGACCTGGTAGCAATGTCGTCATCTTCACCACCCCAACCCCAGTATTCATTGGGGAAGCCATTCATCTTCAGGTACTGGTCAGGAGTGAGTGCTGAGACCCCTCCAAAGTACTGGGGGTACGGGAGGCTAGGGAGAGAAAGATCCTTGAATTCCACAAGTCTTCTGGGGAGACACGCCTACCCACAATCCCCTTGGCTCTCCTCCTTCCAATGGATGGTGGGTTTCCCTGCTTCCCAGCATCCTCTCATGCCCTCTACCTGTATCCAAACTTGTTCATGGCAACAGCAACATGCCGGGGTCCCCGGGGATCACACACATAGAGGTTGTGGTCATTCTCTGGCAGGAGGTCCACATCATGCAAGAACAGGCAGTCCCACTCTTCATCACGCAGGGCCTCCCGCACCCCAACATTCAGCAGCTTTGCCCTGTTAAATGTTCCATTTCCAGCCTGGAAGATAATAACGGAAGAGGACCGGACTATGTCTGTAGGTAGCATGGAGAAGAGGGGTCAGAAGTATAAAAGAGAAAAGAGGGAAACCAAAGTGGGTCATAGGGCAAGGAGAATCAAGAGAAAGACAAACTATCTTTTATTTTTTCATTCAACAATTTTTTTTTGAGCATCAGTATGTGCCTGATACTTACACACTGCTGTTTAGCATTTAATCCTGACAACAACCATGGGAAACAGGTATATACTAGTTACCTTTCTTTGCTTCATTTTAGGGGGTTAAGTATCTTGCTCAAGGTCACTTATGGGACAAATGACAGAACTAGAATTTTAGCCCAAATCTGTCCAATTCCAAATTTGCACAATTCCAAATTCAACAAAGGGAAGATCATGGGTGGGTACAGACTGGGAATACCCTAAAGAGAGTAACAAGTTGGCAGAGCAGTGCCAGGTGCTTTCCCACACTCAATAGGCTGACTTAAAATTATTCCAGGGACCCACTATATGAAGAGTGGAGTGGCATTTACTTGAAGTTTCCTTACGAAAAAGAAAGCGGAGTTGGGATCAGGGGTACCTGGTGGATGACATAGATGCCATAAGCAAGCTGCTGGCGCTGCAAGAAGGGGTGCAGGTGGTAGAGCAGCAGGCGCAGGTGGTGCTCCCGGCCCCGGTGGGGCACAATGATGGCTGTTCGGGAGCGGGGCTCACACCCTGCGGGGCGGTACCGGCCCCCCAGTTCCACTCGAGGATTTCTCTCCACAATCTCTGCCAGCGACGGCACTGGACTAAAGGACACGGACACAGGACCCACTGTTGGGAAGGAATGGCAAGGTCAGGGGTTAGAAGGGCAAGGAGAAAAAGGACCACCAGGGCCTGGGGACACCTCTAGCCCCCACAATCTGGTTCTAGGGCTCAGCTCCCCTAAGGGCTCACTCAGAATTTTCAGAGCCTTGAGTTCACCATCATTGGGGCAGCTTTGCAAAGTCTGGAAGATGCAGGCTCCTTAACTTGGCCTACCTTTGTATTTTAGGGTTCCATAACTCTCTCTACAGGGTTGGAAGCTGTAGTTAGAGGATGGAGAGAACAGAAAGACTTCCAATTAACTAACTAAACCAGGGCTCATCTACAAAGGAAGCAATTCTTAGCCCAAGGCAGGAAGAGCTCATAAATGGGTAGGCAATAGAAAGTTGTAGCTCAATCCAAGAGCCCAATCTAAACTCTAAATTCAGAGTCCATTCTATCTCAACCTCAGCCCATCTTCCAATTACATTAACCTCCTGTTCTAAGTCCCACTCCTGCCACACTATGCCTGCCCAAGCCTCCCTGCTCCCAGACCTCAGCCTTCCGTTCACTTCCTCCTTCCTTCTGCACTCACCTAAGAGAGGAGATCGTTCTGGACAGTAGGGTAGACCTTGAGGAGCTAGAGGGCCCCCTGGGGCAACAGGGGCCCCAGGCAGGTGACTGAGGTTACTGTAGACATCGTGGGGATGCGAATAGTCAAATGTCGGCCCCTGCTCTCGGCCAAATAGGGCACTGAGGCTTCGGAAGCCCCCCAGTGACAGGTACATCATGACGGCCAGCTGGGAGCCCACAAGCAGGGCCAGTGTACAGGGCCTCTCCAACAGCCTCCGCAACATCCTGGGGGGAGGTCTGAGGAGGGAGAGAGGAAAGTTCTGGGGGTGGGCAGGAAGAGATCAAGCCAGCAGAGAAATCATCAGGGAGGGATGAAGGTGGTGCCGGGGTAAAGAGGAAAAAGAAGCAAAGAATAAAGTCACAGAAGGGAGCACACAGGTGTCTGGTCATGCAAGAAAAATAAATAGAATGTGACCACCAGCAGCCCTACCACCTGTCACTTCCAGCCCAAGTTTCACCCTCCTCCGCCCCCTCTCCAAACCACTCCTGCATCTACTCTCAGTTCCCACCCCCAAGAATGCTTACATCATTCAGGTCCCATGTCCATTTCAGGAGTCTCTGGAGAACTTTCCTTCCAGTTCTAGAGGGAGAGAGAGACTCACCTGGGTTCAAGCTGTCTTGTTCTGGATCATGGGGTCTTCAGGAGGTCCCGGGGGGACAGAGATGTGAGGCATTATCTAAAATTGGAAACATCACAGAAGACAGAGAAAGGATCCATCCAGCGCTGCAACAGCGATCCTGGGACCAGCTGGAACAGAAGCGATCAAGGATAACCAGCCACCCTCTATGGGGCAGAGATCAGGATCAGGGTGAAGCCGCTTTCCCAGCAAGGGAAGTGAGGGAAAGTGTTGGAAAGAAAAGAGCGGGGGGGTGGGGGGAGATGCTAGGTCCCCGGCTCCTCCCGGGGCCACCCTGGAGTGTCAGGTTCACTCCGAACTTAACCATCCCCCACTCCAACAGGACCAACCTGTTTGGGGACTGGGGACAGGGCAGCTAGTGGAGACATTATGTCTGCCAGGGGGTGAGGGAGTCATGACAGGACTGTGGAGTGGCCTCAAGAGAACCCAGGGCGGAGTAGGAAACAGGCTCCTTTCCGTTCTTCTCGTGCTTGAGAGCTAGCTCCGCAGGTGCAGGGAGCGTGACCACCTGGGAGCTGCAAGCAAACAGCCCTGGAGCGCGGCGGGGAGTAGGGTGGGGGTGGCGTCCTCTACCTTTTCTACCCTTCCCCAGTCCTAGAGGGGGTGGGGAGGAGGGTTATAGCTAGAGGGAAATAGGAAAACGGAGGGCTGGGCAGAACCTGTCGGGAGTACCTGGGCTAGCTCACCTAGAGGGGCGTGGTCAGCGCTCTGCAGCGGGTGACAGCCCGGTTCTTTCGGAGCACCCCCATTCCACCCCAACCTCCTCTTGCGTTTGCCCTACCTTGCAACGTGAGCCCACCCGGCCTCTGTCCAGACTTCCACCTGGGATCCCCTGCCTGCTCAGGCTTGTCTTCAGCCTTTACCCAAAACTTCTCATCCTCCCAATCGCCCGAACCTTTCTTCCGGCCCCTCACCCCACCAACCCCAGCCCACGTACCTGTTCTTCTGCTTCCAGTCGTCACCGCCACCCCGACAGCCGGGCAGGCATCGCTGCCGCCATCTTGGAAGCGGGCGCTGCGGGGGCGGGGCCTCGCGTCACGGGGCGGGGCCTCGGGTGGAGCCGCCGGGGCGGGCGGAGCGCAGGGTCTGGACAGCCCCGGCCCGGAGGCGCGTGCCGGAGCGCGGCCGGGCGGGGCTCGGAGGAGGCTGGGCCGCGGGCAGCGGGCCGCTACAGCCTCGACCCTTCAGGGAGCCTGCGCGGGGGTTCATCCCCACAGGACCGACTCCTAGGGAGATTCCATTTCCCACCGCGCAGTCTTGTAAAAACAGCAGCTCAAACCAGGACTTTCCTTTGGGCTGAGACTGACCGAACGGCCGGTGGGACAGTTTCTGGCGCGACCGAAGGCCTCCCTATATCCCCGGGCTAGGCTGAGCTCCTTTACCGGGTCAGTGGCGCCCCTTGCAACTAAGTGCCACTTAGTATCAAAATTGTTTCTTGCTCAGGGTGAGTCATAGTTGACTGCTCTGGCGCATTTTTGTATCCCATGGTATCCCGCAGGCCTTGAAATAGAAACAGTTAATAAAGCAAGGAAACATTGAGTGTGGAGGGAAGGGCAGGGTCTGCTTTAATGTAAAAATGTGTTTTCCCAGATATGAGAGTAAAGTGGACATTCCATTAATATGCAATATGTTTATCTTGTGGCTTCCACTACCCGCTTAGCATATTGTGTTCCTTAGAAGCAGATGTTCACACTGAGGAAACTTGAATAACTCACAATGTCTGTCTCAAAAAGCTCATGGTCTTGTGTGCTTGTACGGGAGGGAGGGAGGGAGGGAGGGTTACAAAAAATATAGTGGGATAAATATGATAGCCCAGAAATTGCACCTCATTCTCACGTGGAGAATCTGGAAAGCCTTCCGAGAAGAAGTGATGGCTAATGGGAAACCTGAAGGACTTGTCTATAGTACATCCTTCTGCTTTATAAGATCTTGTTTCAGTGGGAGATATTTTACAACCCTATGTAGGAAACTGATAGACATGCAAATTTCAGTCCTGTCTGATAGAGGTTCAATTAAACCCCTACTGGCTACCTTGTGGAAAAAGGTTTTTGCCTCCATTGTCATATTCATTTCTGCATTCCTGATCTGTAAATGTGTCTGTTTTTTAGATATTCTTTTGAACCAGTAATAACGTCTTCTGGTTCCTTACAAGTTAAACAAAATCTGTAACACGTGTTCATTTTTATATGGGTATTGACAAAATCTGTCCTTGACCAAACTTTAGACAGGCTCCTCTGAGCCCTCTTATCAATAGGGCTCGTCCTTGGGCCCCTAGCCACTTTTAGCTAGAATCCTGCTAAGTCATTTTAGTGAGAATTCCCCACCCTTAATATCTGATCACCCTGGCCTGCCTTCAGCAAGAATCCTAAGTCCTAAGAATTTCCCTACCCATAGGGACTGGCCCCGTGGCCAAGTGGTTAAGTTCGCGCGCTCCGCTTCCCGGCCCAGGGTGTCGCTGGTTCGGATCCTGGGCTCGGCAGGCGTGTGGGGCGCTGACTCAGCATAGCTTGATGAGTGTTGCCATGTCCACGCCCCACATGCCACAACTAAAACATACAACTATGTACTGGGGAGCTTTGGGGAGAAAAAGAAGAAGGAAAAAAAAGATTGGCAGCAGTTGTTAGCTCAGGTGCCAATCTTTAAAAAAAAAAAAAAAAATTCCCTACCCTTGATGTAATTTTCCATCCACTGACTCTCTCATTTTGCTCATTGGCTATAAATATCTACTTGTTCATACTGTATTCAGAGTTGAGCCCAATTTCTTTCCAATTGGGATAGTCTTGACACTTACGGCAATAGTCCCAAATGAAGTCTTCCTTGCCATTTTAACAAGGGTCAGAATAATTTTTCCTTTAACAGAGTGAGAGTCATAGTTTTATCTTTTTCTGAAAATTATATTTCAACAGATGAATAGTGTTCTGGGCAGAGAAAACGATAAGGACAAAAGTCTGGAAAGGAGGAAGAAATTAAGGAGTTTGGGAAATCAAAAATGGATCAGTAAGGCTGGACAATAGAGTGAAGGGAATCGCGAGAGTTGAGACTGGAGAGGTAAATAGGTGCCAGATAATGAAAGACTCCATAAATCACATTGAAAGAGTTTGAGTTTTATCCTGAGGGCAAGAGGAAGGCATTAAAGTACTCTAAACAGAGAGTGCTATACTCAGAACTTTAGGAAGTTAACTCTGGTGGAAATGTGGAGCATTGATTGAAGTGGTCAAGACTGGAAGCGGGTTACTGCAGAAATTCAGAAGTGAGATGGAGCTAATGCAAAATAAGGTGATATCAGTGGGACTAGAGGGTAGAGGATCTCTTTGAGAATTTTTAGGAGACAAAAAGGATTTGGTGACTGCCTGGATGTGCCAAGTCAGGGAGTTAGAGGACTCCAAGATGACCCCCAGATTTCTCTCTCTTTTGTTTCTTCTCCCCAAAGCCCCAGCACATAATTGTATATCCTAGTTGTGAGTCATTCTAGCTCTTCTATGTGGGATGCCACCTCAGCATGGCTTAGTGAGTGGTGCGTAGGTCCATGCCTAGGATCCAAACCAGCGCACCCTGGGCCACCAAAGCGGAGGGTGCAAACTTAGCCACTTGGCCAGGGGACCGGCCCCACCTCCAGATTTCTAAGGTGGACCACTGGGTGAATGGTGGCACCATTTAATGAGAAACAAAACTTAGAAAAGGTACATTTGGGGGAAAATGATAGAGATGACAAGTAAACTTTGGACTTAGTGAGTTTGAGGTAACTGAGGCTCAAAATGAGATAATACTGGGTTTAAGTACAATGCCAGCTTTGAATTCCATTGGCTGTGTGATGTTCAGCGATACGCTTTCTGGGTTTCATCTGTAAAATGAACCCCATCTTAAAGGGGTTTGTGATAATTAGTGAGAACTATGGAAAAGTGACAGCAGACAGCAGATATTCAATACATCTGAATTTTAAGGACAAAGTAGGAGCTGAGTAAAAGCCCTGATTTTTCTTTCTTTTTTTTTTTAAGATTTTATTTTATTCCTTTTCCTCCCCAAAGCCCCCGGTACATAGTTGTATATTCTTAGTTGTGGGTCCTTCTAGTTGTGGCATGTGGGGTGCTGCCTCAGCATGGCTCGATGAGCGGTACCATGTCCACACCCAGGATCTGAACCAGCAAACCCCAGGCCGCCGAAGCTGAAAGTGCGAACTTAACTGCTACGCCACTGGGTCAGCCCCTTTTTTTTTTTAATGCTTTTTTATTTTATTTTATTTTATTTTTGAGGAAGGTTAGCCCTGAGCTAACTGCTGCCAATCCTCCTCTCTTTTGCTGAGGAAGACTGGCCCTGAGCTAACATCCATGCCCATCTTCCTCTACTTTATACGTGGGATGCCTACCACAGCATGGTGTGCCAAGTGGTGCCATGTCCACACTGGGATCCGAACCGGCAAACCCTGGGCCACCTAAGTGGAATGCGCACACTTAACCACTGCACCACTGGGCCGGCCCCCTGATTTTTCTTAAGGAGTTCACTGTGTAGTGGAAAAGATAGACTTATACAGATAATTGAAATGTGGTTCTCCTAGAGGACCCTTCCTCTACGCTCCCATGGTATTCTGTTTTTGTAAAACCGGCCTTCACCTTCTATTCCCCCACCCCCCCACCCCATCTACCATCTTCTGATAATTCCCCTACATTCATTTGTAAATTCCCGGTTTTCAAGAACCTTCATCTCGACTCCATCTCACCCTGGCCACACCCTGGACTTAGTCATCACCTAGAACTGCCAAATTTCTGAAAACTTAAATTCTAGTATGCTGGTTTTCACCACAACATCCTGTCTTTCTACATTCTGAATAAAACTTGGGGCCCCTAGCGGCCAAGTCATGACACACAACACAACAGAAGAAAGCCAGTCTAGTAACCAAAAACTAATTTAAAATAATTTAAATCTCTATTTTGTTTCTGAAGGAAACATCGGATGCATGGGGCAGGGCAAAGAGGAGAAGGAGCACATTTTAACACACAGGCCAATATCTTTAAAATCCTCTCTCTCCCATTCAATGTTTTCCACCTAGATGGTAGCTTCTCCCCAGAACTATCCCTTCCAACTCTACTCAGCTCCTTACAGTATTATCCTCCAGCTCCAAGTCTGTTCTCTTTACTTTACTTTTGTTTTGCATAACAGAGAAGGGCCCTGGAGCTGACCTAGCAAGCTGAAATCTTTTTTTAAATTTTTTTTGAGGAAGATTAGCCCTGAGCTAATTACTGCCAATCCACCTCTTTTTGCTGAGGAAGACTGGCCCTGAGCTAACGTCCATGCCCATCTTCCTCTACTTTATACGTGGGATGCCTACCACAGCATGGCTTTTGCCAAGTGGTGCCATGTCCGCACCCGGGATCCGAACCAGCAAATCCCGGGCCGCCAAGAATTGGAACGTGCGAACTTAACCACTGTGCCACCGGGCCAGCCCTGAAATTCTCTACTCCTCCACATCACCCTACTCTCCAGGGGATCCCTACAGTTTTACAGTTTACTTCTAGAAGTGGAGGCAGACACCTCTTTCAGGAACACTTCTGTGACCCCATATTCTGTGCTAGGTGCCCCTTCTTCACCATGGCATCTATCACACAGGTCTGGATTTTCTTTTTCTTTCTTCTTTTTTTTTTTTTTAAGAAAGATTAGCCCTGAACAAACATCTGCTGCC